CAGGAGGCTCTGGAGGCTGAAGAGAGAGGTGAGCCCCTTGGGGGCTTGGTGCAGGAAGGAGATTCCTGCAGGATACCCCTGGACCCTGACTGGACATGATACAGAACAAATATTTCCTAAATGCTCATCATAGGAATAGGCTCCAAGGGAGTCCCTGTACTAAAGGAGCTTTCAGTCTGGTGGGTGTTGTAGGGGTGGACCCAGAGGTGCTGGCTGGGGTCAGGAAAGTGCCAAGGGGGAATGAGAAAGGTGGGTGGTGGGCCCTGTGGGGGCTGGGTCTCCAGGGTGGGCTTCGTAGAGGAAGATGGATTTGACTTGACCCTTGAAGAAAGATCAAGATTTTAACAAAGGGCCTTAAGATGGTGGCAGAGAGCGCCGTGGCATGCAGTGGTTGGCAGCTGGAGGGCTTTGGTATGGGAGCGAGAGAGAACAGAGGGGCCTGGCAGCATGGAGGGTGGTCTCAGAGGTTAAGTCCTGGCCTCACGTGCCAGGCTGAGGAGTGCCCTCACCTAGAAGGGCTGGTTAAATGATGCCAGGCAGTGCATCAGAGGCTGAAGTGCATAAGAGATATGGGCTCTTGCCAGCCATTCAGTTGTTCGCTCGACAGACATTAACTGTGCCTGTCTGATGGGCCAGTGATGTGCAGAGTGTGGAGGCTGAGGGCAGACAGATAGGCCCACCCAGCGCCTGAGGTGTGGTCAGTGCTGCAGTTGTACTGTGTGTGTTGGAGGGGCACCGGCCTAGTCCAGGGGAGAGATGAGAAAGCCTGGCCTGGGCAGTGGCTTCCGGGAGGCAGAGGATGGGACATTCAGGACTACGGGATCAGCAGCCTCGCCAGCACAGTATTTGGTGGCTGGCTCCAACTCTGACACTTAGCTCCGGGGGTGTTCACTGGGGTCAGGGTGAAACGGTTTGGAGCAGACCTTGCGCATCATGACCCGGAGGCCTTGGCAGGCCCCGGGAGAGGCCCCGGGGTGAGGGGAGTGCAGACGGTCAGTGGCTTCACCGCTGGAGTCCCGGAGCCCTTGGCTGCAAACAGGGACCGTACCGCCCAGTAACATCTGTGCTTCATCTTCGTGTTGTTCCAAGGCTCGCATGCAACTGTGCCCATAAGAACCCTTTGAAAACTTTATAAAGGTGTTGTGGCGCTGTTACTATCTATCAGCAGCATCTTTTAATCAATATCACCATGCCTGCTTGGCGGGACGTGGGAGGCACCGCGCAGACACTCCTCAGGTTGCCCCAGCTTGGGCCAACTCAGCCTCAGCCAGGGAGCTGCCATGATCAGTCCCTTCCTCCATTACCCACCCGCCTTCACCCCCAGTGTCACTTCAGGGGTCTGCATGGAAGCGCACCTTTTAGAAGTCTCCTGGGAACCGTGCTAGCGGAGTGTGAGTGAGTAAACACAGCCCGGGTGCCGCGGCCAGTGGACGAGCTCTGATGTGTCCGTCTGCCCCCACCCCTCCCAGGTGGCACACCTGCCTTCCTGCCCAGCTCGCTGAGCCCCCAGTCCTCCCTGCCCACCTCCAGGGCCCTGGCCACCCCGCCCAAGCTCCACACGTGTGAGAAGTGCAGCACCAGCATTGTGTGAGTGTCTACGGCCTGGGAGGCAGGCACACCCTGACAGGGCGGTGTGGGGCGGGGCAGGGCACGGGATGCCCCCGGGGGGAGTCAACACCAGTCAGGGACCCTGGAGGGGTGTTTCCACAGCAGACCTGTGATGGGCTATGTTGGTTATTTTATTTTTTATTTATTTTTTTTTTAAATTTTTTTTTTCAACGTTTATTTATTTTTGGGACAGAGAGAGACAGAGCATGAACGGGGGAGGGGCAGAGAGAGAGGGAGACACAGAATCGGAAACAGGCTCCAGGCTCTGAGCCATCAGCCCAGAGCCCGACGCGGGGCTCGAACTCACGGACCGCAAGATCGTGACCTGGCTGAAGTCGGACGCTTAACCGACTGCGCCATCCAGGCGCCCCTATGTTGGTTATTTTAATCCTTCTTAAAATGTCTTGCTGGCTTCTTCCTGCCGTATCCCCTTCTCCCTGATTTCTTCCTCCCTCCTGGGAGGAGTAAGAAACGACGCTTCTGATTTCTCTGCAATAATCTCAAGGCCTCTAGAGATCTGCCTCTAGATGCGGTGCCTCCTCCTGGAAAATTTTGCTCTTGCCCCTTCCTCACCCCCTTTGGAAAGGGATGACTTTTCCAGAGGTAGGTTCATTTTTCCTCACAGGGTGGCATTGTAATGCAGCCACATTCTCTGGAAAAGTGCTGAAAGTCCACCCGCTCCGCCATAAATTTCTTACATGCCATGATGACGGTCAGATGACTCACCTTAGGCAAATCCCTTAGCCTCTGCAGGCTTTACTGTCTCAGCTCCAGAATGGGATACTATGCATGCCTGCCGTGCAGACACAAGGGAAGTGTTGTATGTGGTGGTTCTCAAAGAGCAGCTGCACAGTCCCTGAGGACTTGTTAGAGGGACTGCTGGCCTGTACCCCAGAGTTTCCTCTTCAGGAGGTCTCTGGCCCCAGCATTTGCATTTCCAACTTGTCCTCAGGTGATGTAGTGCTATGGTCCCGGTACCTGGGACCACACCCAGAGGACCACTGCTCCATTAACAGCCCAGATAATTCAGGACGAGTTTATTTGCCTTTGTGTAAAGGAGAAACAGCTTTAAAAAATTTTTTTTTTTAATGTTTATTTATTTTTGAGAGAGAGAGGAAGAGAAAGAGAGAGCGTTAGAGGGGGAGGGGCAGAGAGAGAGGGAGACACAGAATCTGAAGCAGGCTCCAGGCTCTGAGCTGTCAGCAGAGAGCCCAACATGGGGCTCAAACTCATGAACCACAAGATCATGACCTGAGCCAAAGTGGGATGCCCAACCAACTGAGCCACCCAGGTGCCCCCCTTTTCTTTAAAAAATTAGAAGTCCCAGAGGTGGTGGTTGGGGGTTATTGAAGTGAGATTCCTGAAGGAAGGCTTGGGGAGTCCAGTGTCTGAGATTTGGGGATCTTTCCAGGTCCTGACTGTGGGCCTGGAACTGGCCAGGAACTAGGCTCCCCGGGAATGAGAATGGCAGCATCATGCTATCACCCTGCCTTCCCCCACCCCCACTCTCCCCCAGGCTAATGGTTCTCCCCTCTGCATTGCCCCTGCAGGAACCAGGCTGTGCGCATCCAGGAGGGGCGGTACCGCCACCCAGGCTGCTACACCTGTGCGGACTGTGGGCTGAACCTGAAGATGCGTGGGCACTTTTGGGTCGGAGACGAGCTGTACTGCGAGAAGCATGCCCGTCAGCGCTACTCCTCGCCCCCCGCCCTCAGCTCCCACGCCTGAGTACCCGGCTAGGTTCTCAACCTGCTCTAGACCGCGTAGGCACCTGTACACCAATAGCAAGTTGGCATGGAAGGGTGGTGGTTGGTGGTGGGGCCCCTGCCTCCAGGCTGGGTGAGGCTAGAGCCTGGGACCTGTGATGGGCTGTGGATGAGGACAGCCTCACCATCCCAGGCCTCTGCTAGATACTCACTTCCTCCTGTAGAACAGGCTGTACACCAAAGTGTGAGGTGGGCACTGCATTGGATATCTTTGTGCAACAGGGATTAAGCAGGTTGGGATACAGAGATAAATATGTAGAAAGAGAGGGATAGGTCAGAGGTTAAAGGTATTCACTCTGTAAAGTTTTCAGCATATGAACTCTATAAATATACATATATGGATGAAACAAAGTAGCTCTTTCCTCTTCTTCTCTGCCTCTGCCCCTGGGGATGAACTCTGTCTACCACTGGGCAAAGAGTTTTTATTGACATAATTTTCCCCCTTTATTCCCCACATCCCCAAACCTTACCAAACCTTACCAGGTGCTTCACCACATGACACCCTCTAATGAAGAGGCTTGCATTTTTTATTTTATTTATTTATTTATTTATTTAAGTTTATTTATTTTAAGAGAGACAGAGACAGAGACAGAGACAGCATGAGTGGAAAGGGCACAGAGAGAGAGAGAGGGGGAGACAGAGAATCCCCAAGTAGGGTCTGCACTGGCAGAGCCCGACGCAGAACTCAATCCCACCAACTGTGAGATCATGACCTGAGCCAAAACCAAGAGTCAGATGCTTAACCAACTGAGCCACCCAGGTGCCTCTAAAGATTTTATTTATTTTATTTATTTTTATTTTTTTAACATTTATTTATTTTTGAGACAGAGAGAGACAGAGCATGAACAGGGGAGGGTCAGAGAAAGAGGGAGACACAGAATCTGAAACAGGCTCCAGGCTCTGAGCTGTCAGCACAGAGCCCGACGCGGGGCTCGAACCCACAGACCGCGAGATCATGACCTGAGCCGAAGTTGGATGCTTAACCGACTGAGCCACCCAGGCGCCCCTAAAGATTTTATTTTTAAGTAATCTCTGCACCCTGTGTGGGGCTTAACTTACAACCCCATGATTAAGAGTTGCATGCTCCATCAACTGAGCCCACCAGGTGCCCCTCCTGGACTCTTTTATAAAGATGCCAGTTTTACTGGGATAATCTCTGGTACTTTAGAGGAATGAGTTTCTTATCCGGAGCCTGGAGAAGAGGAGGAATGCCAGAGGGCAGGCAGCAAACAGGAGGCAGGTCCAGATGTCCATGCTATCCAGGCCTGGCTCAGTGACAGTCTCATGCTCCACCAGCACTGGCTGGGCTGGCATTCGGTGCCCCTCGCTCTACTTGGGGTGAATGCTGCCAGCCCAGCTGACCTACCCAGATGAGCTGGGTGGGCAGGAGAGGGGGCAACATGTAGAGTATCTTTTGCACTCCCCCAAGGCTGTCTGCACGCACTTAAGAAAGATAATCACCAGCAATAACCTTGAACTGGGCTGCAGGTTAGTCTTGCCTGGGAAGCATACACCAGAGGAGCCCCACCCTGAAGGACCTACCCCCCAAAGGTCCTCACATCCAAGCCAGGCTTGCTCTGTATGTCCCTTCCTTGGGAGACCCTGCTGGCTTCAGTGGTAGTTGATTTGAAAAACAAACAAACAAACAAACAAACAAAAAACCCAGAAACAAAAATAATGGGTGACTAGTGTTAGGTGTGCCTGCCCTCAGGTATGTTTGAGTTGACACAGGGGGCAGTGGTCCCCTACCAGGTTTTAGGCTTGATTCACCCACCACCCCCAGTCCTAATCTCAGAGACATTTCAGAAAGGTGCATGAGTACTCCAGACCCACCCTGTTCCCCAGTTAGCCTGAGGAATGGGTCACAGCCTCAGCTTTATTTTCACAGAAAAGATCAAAGCTGGGCTCCAGAGGGTGTTTATGCTGTCTGGTTCTTTTGGGAAGGAATCTCGGTGGACTGTTGGTGTCGGCTCCTCAGGCACCTGTTGATATAATTTACACCTTGATTTAACTGTCTCACCTTTTGCCTGGATGGCTGCCTTTATTTTCATAGAAAAGATCAAGGCTTTCTGTGGTTCAGGAGTGGGTGGGGCCAGAACTTTGGTCGGCAATGGGATAGTCTCCTTGACGCCACCTAGTGTCAGATGTAGCCCATGGCCGGGGAGAATGCCTGCAAAAGGGGAATTCACCCCTCTGGAAACACCTGGGTCCTGGCACAGTGAGAATACAGAAATCTACTCCTGAAGGTAATAGTCAAGTGGCAGCCACTGAGCTGGCATGAATGAAATAATACTACATGGCAATGAGTGCTAAGAGCGGATGCGGCACATTCAGGCATGCCCTATGCCCTGTGAGAACAGAGCAGAGACCATCTGTGTGTAAGGACGAACAGGACTTGGGCAGGTGGAGGAGACAAACATCCACTGCCAGGGGTGAGTGCAGGTGGAATGCTCAGTTTAGGGCAGCGGCTGAAGGAGGTACCAAGAGAAGACTGGAAAGGGAGATGGGAGCCTTGAATGCCAGAAGAAATGGTTTGACTTCACCTTGAGGCTCAGGGAACATTTTGAAAATTTTAAGCAGGCAAGTGACAGGTTGGAAAGGGTGGGTTGGAATATGAACATGGTGGGCCAGCGGTGTTCTGAGGAGTAGAGGAGAAGAAGTAGGGAATGAAGACCCTTGTGAAATGGGTATGCCTGGGAGTTGTTGAATGCCTTTCGAAGGCTGGACGGATTCAGGCTGAAATCCGCCTCTTTAGTTGTGGCAGGCAGCTCTCCTCCCAGGGGTCGGAGGGTTTCAGAGTGCTTTGCGGCTACACAGCCAGCTCGAGCTTGGGGGCAAACTTCTTTGGGAGATGGGAGTTATTAGTCAAACCCATTTGTCAAAGAAGCTTGCAGTCTTTGATCTTTTACCCCTGCCCTCAACCCCACCCCAAGCCAGCTGTGAGCACCCACCCCCTGTGTCCCAGTGGTGGGGGGGAGACATCACCTAATTTTTTTAACCTTTATTTTTGAGAGAGAAAGAGAGAGAGTGCAGGTGGGGGAGGGGCAGAGAGAGGGGGACAGAGTGGGTTCTGTCTTGACAGCAGCGAGCCTGATGCGGGGCTGGAACTCACAAACTGTGAGATCATGACCTGAACTAAAGTCGGATGCTCAACTGACTGAACCCCCTGGGCTCCCTGAGAGACCACCTAATTATATGACTGCAATTTATCCAGTACTGTACCCTCTACTTTTTTTTTTTTTTTTTTTTTTTTTTTTTTTTTTTTTTGGCATTTTGGGGAATAACCTCAGAAATGATGACAGATTCAAGTTAGAGGTTCCCAGGGAGAGCATCTAAGATAGCCACCTTCAGTTAGAGATGGGAAGGTGACATTCCTAAGTTACAAAGGTAGATAATTCTTTTTTTTAAATAATTTTTTCATGTTTATTTATTTTTGAAAGAGAGAGCGAGAGAGCATGAGTGGGAGAGGGGCAGAGAGAGAAGGAGACACAGAATCCGAAGCAGGCTCCAGGCTCCCAGCTGTCAGCACAGAGCCCGACTCAGGGCTCGAACTCACGAGCTGTGAGATCATGACCTGAGCTGAAGTTGGATGCTTAACTGACTGAGACACCCAGGCGCCCCACAAAGGTAGATAATTCTAACAGCACGAAATTTTGAGTGCTTTAATCACCTACCTACAGAGGTAGGTATTCCTTGTTCTGTAAATGAAGAAACTGCGGACAGGGAGGAAAGTGACTGGTCCGAGGACTCCTACTTGGTAAGGGGGTGTGCATGCTGGGGAAGGAACCTGGAGTCTGAATTCTGAATTTCTGGTGTGGGGTGGGGGCTCTTGGCCCTCCATCACCAGAGGCTGCCTTCCAGGCCACAGGGAGGTCACCATGGCTCCCAGCCATCTCTGCTCTGGCAGGAGCTGCCCTCTGCCTTCTTGGCTTTGCCCTTCCTCCCACAGGGCATAGCTCAGTGCTGAGCTTGCAGGAAATGTGCTTCCTGAAGCTGGGACTTCCCCATGGAGGTGGAGGGGCAGCTGGGCATCCCTGGCCTCAGCCTAGGGAATGACTCTGCTCAGCCACCATGCATCTCAGGAACTCAGGGCAGCTGCTCACCCATCAGGTGGGCAGCGAGGGTGTGGCTGTGCTCTGGGCACACGGCTGCTCCAGTCAGGGCCGCTCCAGTCAGGGCCGCAGAAGGCAGATGGGAGGGAAGGGTGTGGCCCCCAGCGAGGGATCCCCAGCACGATGAGGGCTCAGGCACATCTACATGGGGGTCAGGCAGTGCAGGAGCCCACCACCCGGAAGGGAGTGTGCTTGGGTGTGTGTTGTGGGGGTGGGGGTTCTTTTGAGCCCACACAAAGCCTTGTGCTGAGACACCACATTCCTGCTGGCTGGGCTTCCTGTTCCAGATGCATTCTTGCCCCAGAGTCACCAGGGAGACCGCTTGGAATCTGGCCCCACATTCTCCAAATTCAGGGCGAGATCCGACAAAGGTTCCCTCCCTTTCCCTCCCTACCCTCTCACTTTGGAGGAAGGAAGCCACCTGATAGGCCAGTCCTCCAACTCCCCGACCCAGGGAGGGCTGGGGTAGGGTATGACACTGCCTGCGGGGTTTGGTGCCACACATCCTGTGGGACCTGCATGAAGCAGTTCCTGCCAGGCCCTGCGTTCATTTCCCTGTCTGTATCTGGGAAAGAGGAATGGGGCGGGGGTGCTGTCTAGGAGGACAGGGTTAGGAGGAGGCCACCCAGACGACCTGTGGCTAGCAGAGAAGGGCTTGGCCTGAAAATCAAGGTGTTAAGAGATGTCAGGTAATTCAGGCACTTGGCTCTCATTCTTTCTCAGACCTGGTTATAGGCCTCAGTTTCCCCATCTTCTACAGTCAGAACCTTACAGTTTGTGGCTCTCTGGCAAAGGTTCCTGTGTAAGGTATTTGAGGAAGGGTATGAAGGAGCATGGAGCAGAAGGGGTGGGCAGACTGTTTCCTCCCTCCCAGTTAACAGCTGCTTCCTCCCAAGGGCTCTGGTTCCAGCCCCTCCCCCAGAGGCTCAGGTGCAAGTTTGCACGTCCACCAGTCTCTTTATCTGCCTCCAGGGGATTTGGGTCCCGCTGGGATTTTTCCAGCCCTGTCCCCTTCCTCAGGAGGATGAGGTTTTCTTAGAGGCCAGCAGCCCTCTGGTCACCAGGCCGTTTCACCTTCGGCAGCTCCCTAGGCTACCAGCTTGAAAGCAGGCTGGGACCCTTTAAGGGTGGGGGGCTGGTGGAATCCCAAGGGCCAAAAGAGGGTTGGGGTTGGGGGACAGGGAAGTATTCACACTTCCACCGCCTTCAGGCTGCTTCCCTGTTCGCCTGGCTCACTTCCCTATATCGTGAAGTCCCCCCCCC